AAATTCGTCAAAAAAATACTTTTCAGGCCTCATGACATAAATTACTATTTCCGTGATACATCTCCCATGTCCGCGATATCCAGCGTCAAACCGCTTTCTGCACGGAATTGCCCTAGAATTCCGGGGAGAAATGAGCTGTTGCTAAATTGACTCAGTCGGACATTAGGATATAAAGTGCCATCGGTTGGTTGGAGCCACTTGAAAACAACTAAACAGAAAGTTTTGCTCTACGTGTGTTGAGCCGAAGTACCATGAGCCGCTACGACTGCAACACCGACCCGTTTTATCTTTCTCATTGAAAACCAGCCGTGACAAATTTTATGTCCTCCCGCTCAATTTCGGAATCCGTAAAGTGCCCTTGACGGTTGATAATCCCGAAAAATTCTTTTTCGATGGCCTTGGAGTGACTTCAGACGGCTGACCGATCACTTTCGGGGGGGATTCCCAGCGCCAAATCGCGGGAATCAATTTTTCATTGTCTGTGATTTTGTCAATAGTTTTCTGATCGCTCTATCTTCTCGGCCGAGGTGACTTCGTGACTCGTCTAGGGACAACATCCCCGTTACCGACTTGTCCTGCAGTTCTGGTAACTGCCGCACGTTGCGCTGCCAGGATTTCAGCGCAAAATCGAAAGTTCAAGGGTTTTTAGCGCTTCAGCTGCACAGAAAAATATAATTATATCAATAATATTTCAATAATTCCCAGTTATTTATCTAAAAAATAGTGCATTTTTGGCGTTTTTTTTTTCGTGGGCATCGAAAAAATTTTTTTCAAGCGTAAAAAAAATATTTTTACACTTTTTTCACTCTAGGTCGAATTTTTTGATATTTCGTGGGAAAATTTCTAATGGATCAAATTGCAAAATTGATTTTCTCATCGGTCTGCGAATTTTTATTTTTTTCAAACTTAATATTATAAAGGTGAAGATTCTATTTGTATTTTCTCCTCTAGTTTTATAAAAAAAAAACTCTAATTCCATAAAATAAAGAATTTTAACGTAATTCGTTGAAATTCGAGAGGAGAGTTTAAAAAATGGGAAGATATTTTTCAGAGTACATGAGATTTTTGACGTCGGTATCGAGCGGTGATTTTCCGAGTACATAAAAAGCTGTACGCACGCGTCTAAAAATAATTGACTACTTGGCGTTGCGCCTTAGCAACAGTCGCCGAACCGCTGCATTATCCAACAGCAATCATAATAATAATTTTTCTCATTGATAAAGTGTCCCTGATCCATTGATATCCAGTTACTACCCCGGAAAAACTCTCAAAAATACCGTATACCACACGCCAAAGTATCATTTTAATTCGAATGGAGCCATAAAATCCCAGAGAGATCGGAGTATCGCTGAGTGAAAATTGCTCCGGGCTATTTTTTTTTTTATCTCAAACTTAATGGGATTTGACGGAGAGGTACAAGATAAGGGCATGTGGAATTCAGGGAATAAAAAAATGTTAATGCCTAAGACGAGAGGAGCCTCAGGCATTTCGACAGAGACTTTGTTGCGATATGTCCCCTTCAGGGCTATACATTATGTATTATTATGCAACATGTACTCCTCCATTTTTTAGATTAAAATCAATTCCCATTATCGCTCTTCGTATGAATTCTACGATGTGCAATATTTATTTCAATTTTCATGATTTTCCATTGAATTTTTTTCTTCATTTTCAAGTTCATCTCATTTGAATTCTAAAAATTCAAAAAATAGAAAAAATTTTTAAAACCGCGAAAATGTGGGAATCACCGCGGGAATCGGTGGAAGCTGCAATTTATTGGGAAAATTTCCCCTAGGGGCGGGTGGCGCGGGAAATTTTTGAAAATTCAAAAATTTCAAACGTTTAAAAATGAGAAAATGGGAGTCAATTTGATTGAAGTCAAATTAAATGGGGCAAGAATCGAGCATTGAGGGGATGACTGATCGGAATTGAAACGAACGAAAAATATAGGGGAGTGCGGAAAAATGTGAATTTTGGGGAAATGCCTGTGGATTTAGTGGCACGTGGCCAATCCGGTGCTCTACAATTATTTCCATCAATTCTTCAGGTTAAATAGACCGTGAAAGAGTCCATTGTCTTCAGAAAACGCATGGACACGTATAAACAGAAAAAGCACTTGCGGTTGAGAGGTAAATGAATCACAAAACCTCTCACCGACAAACAGAGTTAGTAGACATTGGGCGTTGACCACAGGGCATAATATTTTTGCTAGGTTGAAATTTTTTCGGTGTAATTTATATTCACCTTGAGGTTTTCTGTTTTATTTACATCTGGGGGGGGAGGAACACTCCCCACATTTTTATGTCATCATTTTCAACTATTTTAATTGAAAAATCAAATTGATCTTTTCGTGTTTTCAAATTCAAACAGAAAATTCATTTCAAAGTAATCGATTTTTTTTTGATGAAATTTTTTTTAGAAATAAATTTTGATCTCTACCATTCAAATCTTCAGTTGTCCATTGACTCAATGCAAGTATGCAAGAATACTTTTTAAATATTTAAATATTGAATTTTAGCGGGAATATTTAAATATTGAGAATATTTTAATCTCTTCGGGGGAAGAATTTTTAAAAATGTCACCCCATCGCGATCCCTTGGAACGGAAATTGAAAACCCTTAAATATCTATTTCCCGAGAACTTCTTGCAACCGGGGAACATCGAATTTATTCGGTTTCTCTCACCCCATCGCCGGATGTGAAATCCAATCCCGTCCCTGTGAAATCAATATTCAAGTAAAAAATGGCAAGTATTTGTCTCTATCACCCCTCAAGCCCGGGAAACCTCCGAATTTCCATTTCCTCCATCCGAAACATCAGTAATCCCCTAGATAATCCCGTGTAATCCGTTACGAACATTGAGTATTCATAATTGTTTAATGTGATTAGAATTGAGGGATATCTTGTCTGATTTTCCCATGACAAATCGATTGGATTGAATCTATTAAGAAGTTAACGGACGAAAGGAATTATTTATTGAATCTTAAATGTATTAAATGTTGAATATTTTTTACTTGTCCCATTTATCTTCCATTTTTTTAATACTCTCATCACAATTCAGGTCCAAACGAACTTCAAAAATCAAAATTACTTGATTTTTTCACGTCATTTTTATTCATTTCCTAATAAAAATTTATTTTCAATTTATACTAATTGAAAAATTATTGAAATGACTAATGAATAATACTAATAATAACAATAAATAATTCATAATGATTAATTTTAAATATATTTCAAATTAATTTATTTTTATTATTAATTTTGATTTTCAAGTTTTTTTTTTATTAAAAAAAAAATTTTTTTTGTAACCGCTCTCCCCCATTCCTCTCCCTCCCCCCTCGAATTACGTGGATTTTCCTGCAGTTACAAAAAAATCATTGTTTATAACAAGTAGTCATTTTTTAAAAAATAAATAATGATTTTTCGCATGAATGTCGTCATCCCGATGAGTTTCAAGGCCGAATTCGACGGTTACGCCGCAAAGATCGTTGGCGTCTGTTGCCAATCGCCATTCTGCACCCCCCAAAGTACTAAAAATAATAAATAAAGATGAACATTGTTGACTCCAGAGGTATCGAATAAAGATGGACAGAGATTCGCGAGAATCGAGTGCACCTGCTGCCCCGGCGTTGATGTTCTTGTATTGGTTTGAGGTGAAACGGATCGAAAAAGAAAAAAAAAAAGAGAAAAAATAAAAAAAAATAAAAGCCGAGGGCTGGAGGATGGAAAAATGAAAGGCAAAGGGCCCAGTCAGCCACTGTGCACAAACTCTCTTGTCCCTTTTTATATACCTGTGTTGCAACGATTCTCCAGCACCTGCCGTCTCAATTTTAACCCCCTCCTTCCCCTGTCCCCCCCTCTTTCCCCTCATGTACTTGTGATTCAAGATTGCCCCACTTGTGAATCACGGTATTGCCAAGATGTCAGATAATGAGGGTAACATTGCACGCGAAATTGCGCGGATAGGGAATTGTTTTCGTGAGATTTGATGAAAGGAGAGGGGGGTAATCTAAAAAAGGGGGTGTGGGGGGACTGATTGATGAATTTGGGGGGTTTTCCGGTGAAAATATATTTTGGGGTACAAGTAGAAAGATGAGGGGAATTTTTTGCGCGGATGTCGGTAAATGTGCAAAATATATTTTTATTGACTAATTAATATTAATATATTTGTTTATATTAATATATTAATTAGACGCACGTATATGTATTTTTATTATTTTTCTTTAATCCCTGAATCTTCATGTTTCGATCCTGATTAATCCTTGATAACAATCTTTTAATAATTAATTTAATTGTTTATTCGTTTTTTAAAATTGTTTTTCATTTTTATTATTTTTATCATAGATTTCGATTGAAAATTTAAATTTTCACGTTTCGAAGTGGCCTATGGAAAATATCGGAAATTTTATTGAAGATAAATAAATTTTTTCACTGATACCTTTTGGGCCCATTTTGGGACTTGTGGCTTCTTTAAAAAAAAAAAATTTTCCCGAGGGGGAAAAATAGTTTTGAAAGGCCCAATAATACCCAAATTATTACCTACCATTTCTTCTCCCGTTTCTCACCGACGAAACTGTTGAGTAAATTCTACGAGAACTATGGAATAGAACAGTTGCTCTTCGTGCCTGTTATCAGCAAATAACACCCAGATCTGGATCTAGGTGATAGTGGCCTTGAGTCCCCGCACTGCCTTCACAATTTTTTTTTCCATTTATCTATATGGGTCTTAGCGCTGCAGAGTGAAAATCAAAATGACTGACATTTATTCTTCGTATTTTTTAATAATTTTTTATCAAGAACAATAGCATTGTATTTGTTTCTGTGTTAGTTATTTCATTTAGACTCTCTTATCACTATTATTCTTATAATTATGTTACTTCTAGACGTGAATTGCTTACAATGTGTAGCTTAAAAAGAAAATATGAAAATGTCTAAATTCACTGGATTGTCACTGCACGGCCGGTGGAAAATTATTTAATTTTCTTTTATATCTCTCATTGCTTTTATCAATTACTCCACCCATTCATCACACACACACACACATCTGTCACTCCACCTCATTACCATAATTACTTTCAAATCGTAACTTTACACGTAAAAATTACACACTAATTTAATGTTTACTGAGATCATACTAATACATCACAGGGTTACATTTATTTGTTTTCATTATTTTTTTTTTTGTATTTCTAGGCTTTTTCTTCCCATATTTTTTGCTTATTCTCTACTGAAAAATTTGCTTGTGAAGAAATTAAACCCTTCGACTTTTAAAAAAATAAAAGCACTACTATACCGATAAAAAAAAGCTCAACGAATCCAATTTCTTTCCAATTTGGTTGATTCGAGAGATAAAAATCCCTCAATGATTAACTCTGACTCAGCGTAATTATAATTTTTATTTTTACAAAATTTGATCGAACACGATTTGAGGAACACGAGGGAAAAATTCATACGATCAATAGATTTCTCCCCCTGAATTTCGAGGATTGAATTTAATAGAACAATTATCCCTCAGCAGTTTGTACGTTTTTTTTTAAATCGAAGAAATAGCTTGTAACCACTAGTCGTATTTTTTGACTATAATCTCGAAATGAAGTAGAAAAAAGTGAAAGGGAGGAAGGGGATGAAAAGGTTCAAAGGACAGGAAATGACGCAGAACTCGAAGGATAGCCGAAGTTGTGAGATAATTCCGAGATATTTTTGCACTGAGAAAAATATTTTTTTTTGCCAAATATCCGGTCACCTGAGAATTGCTCATAGCTTTCAATTACGAGAATTATATCGCCCTAAAGACCAGATTTAGCTCTCAAAAGTCAATTATAATTTTCGGGGAATTCCCTCTGTAATTAATGAGATATGAAAAATCTTGGAAATTTATCAAATAAAAATATTCCAAATTAACGCATGCAATTTCAACACTCAATAATTCCCTGTATTATTTTCCTCCTATTCGAAATATCATTCAATTAATTTTCATACAAAATGAATTTGTCGAAAAATGTTGAATCAACAAAGTAATCATCAGATAATTCAGCGGGAGGAAAACAAAATTCGAAACGTAAATATTCCCCAGAACTAACCGACCACTTGACAAAAAAAAAAAAATGTTTCTCTCAGTGTGAGGACCAAGGATTAAAGATAGGCAAAACTCTGGCCAAAATTAATTCTCCTGTTGTCAATATAAATTCGTTTATTCTTCGTTATTACTTTTTTCACTCAATCTTTATAATAAATCATGAAAACATCTTTAATATAGTTGTTCGCTTAAGTAATCTCTCCTGAAAGAGAATTGGGAGAAATTCCTTGGTCTCACAGGTGTAATTAGGAAAGATAAATGAATTGAAGAAGCAGAAAAGAGGGTAGTGATTTGGCATCGGCTGTACTTTAGTGGATTCGTACAGGAGATCAATGCTTAAACTCTTGGGTAACGTAGAATAAGGGCTAGTTTTTGGGGGCTCTGTAGGAAATCGCTGTGATGACCCATCGGTATTTGTTTATTTTTTTTTTTGTCTTTGACGATTTATTTCTATCAATTCGTTAGTACGATATTTTTTTATTGAACTGTCTTCGATTGTTTAGGGCTGAAGAAAGGATCATCCGCGGAATTGGGAACGTGGCTTTGATAGGCCAGTCCCAAACACTCCAGCCTTCCACTATTCGAAGATTTATTTATCATTTAATCACTGTTTTTCTTGATTTCAACAGTACGTAAAGTAGTACGTGAAAATCGATAATCCCAGCCGGCTTATTTCGTCGATATCTCCGAAATTACAGCATCTAGAGAATAACGGTGAAGGAACTTTTTGTGGAGTGATAAATTCTCCGCAAAAAATGTTCCAACACATTTTTCCGTAAATCACTTCCTTTTCGAGATACTCGCGATGAAAGCCGGGGAAAAATTCGGAAAATTCTCTCGATGATCAATTCATTGTTCTAAGAGGAGTAAAATTATCTTGACAATTTTTAACGACCAAAAAATATCTTTTGTGTGATTTCAAAAGATCCCAGATATTCATTCCAATGATAAATCTCATCAAGAGACAAGTAGAAAGATATTTCGACGAAAAATCGAGGGATTTACGTACTAAATCATCAAAAAATCGTCGAAAAAATTGATTTGACTCAAGAAAAACAGAAAAATCAGGAACAACGGATAATACACATCCACCAACCATCAAATAAAACCCAGCGAAAGAAATGTCCTCGGAATTAAAAATTCAATCTGAAAATTCCCGAAAAAAATCCATGAAAAAACGCATTAACATTAACATCTCCAACCCCAGGAAATTCTTTCTCTGCTACCGATTGTCACCTCAAACGCCGACAGAGGCCCCTAGAAAAAACATATACTCTGTTCTTAATCCTAAATTACACCTAGACTTATCTAAACTGACGTGTGCGCCTTTACGCTGAGCGTTTCCTAGATAAATCTGTATTCACCAAATCGCGCACACCGACGTAAACGAATAAAAAAAAAAAATATGTGTAAATATATTACAATAAATTTCGACACATGTCATTTTCATCTAGTATCTCGCTAAGCCTAACGATAATGAGTCCTAATTATTTTCTTCATTGCTAATTTCCTTTTCTCAGATAGATTTTCCAATGAACTCGCCATTTTCAAATTCACAACAATAACTCGTCGGAAACAATAATTGTGACGTGTCGAGGGTCTAACGTATCATCAAATTACCCACCAGAAAAGCTGATTACTTTGAGAATATTCTCACGCTTGTACCAGTTACTTGCGCCAGTGAGTCACGAGATAATGCCAATACGCAATAGGACAGAAAAAAAATTAATTGATAATTGAGGGAATGACGCGTCACAGGCGGATAAATCTACGTGAAGATAATGGCACAGCCAAAGGACTCGGTGGAGATGTCAATCATTCACTAATATTCCATATTTTCGGTCTAGACTGACAGCTCCACCTGAATAATCATTTTTTTCAATTTTTTTTTTTCATTCTTTCCTCAGTCAGTTTATCATGAAGAGAATAAGGGATAGGAATTCACGCGGGTGAAGAACTTATTTAAGATTTAAAATTAGAAAAATTTCTTGAGGCCGATGTGGATGACAATGAGGAGTAAGTAAAATAGGATACGTAAAAAACAACGGGATGATCGGTTTAGCTGCGTATTTGACCCGCATTGCGGGCAATTTTCTCCGGTGGCTCCACAATTATCTTCTTTGTACCGATCAGCGTACGTTTGCGACTCTTCATGAAGTCTGAAACAGAAAAAAATGAACGAGTGATTAGAAATCGTTGAAATATCATTGAAATATTAAGAGAAATTCATAATTTATTACGAATTGTAAAGAAAAATCATGGATCTCATTTGAATAAGTCAGGATATCCTCTAGGATTATTAATGGACGAGAAATCCATTATCTGAACCATCTGTCGTGCAAATTAATTAAAGGATCGATTCGAATTTTAATCTGGCTGAATATTTGTTTATCGGCCATCGAAAGAGTCGACTAATGGTTTTTTTTTTAGAAGGTCGTGTGGCAGGGGTAGAAATGATTTGAGGGTGACATCTGGTAATTTTTCAACCCCTGGACATTTTTCTCGACCGTATGGCCTGCACCCTGGCATGAAGGGAATTCTCTCTGGGTCCATTTACCCCTAGATCACCCATTGTCCTTTAATATTTGCATTACACCCCAGAAGAGGTAGATTTATTTCACTTCTGGGGTGCTGATCTACCCCAATACCCCATCTGCATCGAATATTTTATTTAATTCCCTGTGGACTGTCGATTTCAGATGAATTATTGCACGAAATTGATGACTGTGAAATTCCCGGAAATGAGAGAATTCTCCCTTTTTATTTTTTTTTTTTAAATTGAATATTTCAGAATTTTCCAGAAAATTTTAATTTATTGATTAATTAATTATTCTTTGAATAGAATTTCGTGTGATTTTCCGGAAAAATAATGAGGATTTTTTTGCAATTGAACTAATTGTTTTGTTCTTGATTTTATCATCGATTCATTAATTTTATTTGGTAGTGGAAAATCGCATATTCCCTTGAAAGGCCCTCTGCCAATAATTCAGAAATTCCTGTCTTCTTGCGGATTAAAATAGAATTCCTAATCAACTTGTTGTTGTTTTGATCGTCATCATTTTTTTGTCTGTTTTATTGGGTTAGAAATCTATACTCAAGTTATTTTCGGAGCGTCTTCAAAACCAAGGTCAGATGGCCAAGTCCGTCTTGATAATTTATCGAGGGCGAGTGACTCCGCACACATTTACACCCGAATAAAACGTAAGAGTTGCGGTTGGTCAGGGAATTCTCGAGGAATTCACCCGAATTTTTCCAGGAAACGGAAAAAAATTGATGGGGGGATGCTGGGGTAATACAGACAGCCATTAAAAATTATTCCATTCGCAATTTTCCATATTTTTCTATATTCAAAACGAAAACTTTCTGTTTATTAATTAAACAAACTAAAGCAAAACTAAAAAAATTATTAGTTACCCAAGAAATTTTTTTCTCCCTAAGATTTGAACTGGGACTGGAACTGGGATTTTTATTATATTTTTGTTTTATTTCATTACTTTAATTTGAATTAAAAAAACGTGTCCATATTACCCCAGTTTCCCCTCATGAATTAATTAATAATAATATAAAAAAAATCATTCAAGGATTGAAAATAAAAGAAATTTCTGAGACTCGACATCAGAAATTTCTGAGGTGATTTTTCGGGACTTTAATTTTGGTTCGATAATAGGATAAAATTGGTGAATGAAGATTTTGGGTTTGAAAGGGACATGAGTGATGGAGAAAGCGTGAAATAATGATGCGGGACACCTGGGACAATTGGTATTACGGAAGCAATTCCATATGGGTCACTCGAGTTTCAATCTAAATGCATTTAGAGGAAGGCCATCCAACGGTTCTTCAAAAGAATTTGCAGAAGAGATGCGGGCAATCAGCTGTTGCAAACCAAAGAAATATTAACAAAAGGCTATTGACTATGAAAGGGGAAAACGGAATGTTCGTTAAAAAAATTTTCCGGATTGAAATGAGAAAATTTATTCAATTCCATTAACCAATGGAATTTCAATGTTTGAAATTAAAGGGATTGAACAATTTTATTTTTTAAATAAAACAGAAATTCAGAGAATTATACAAAATTTTTGAAAATTTTCCACCAATTTCTGATTTTTCAATCATAAATTGTCTTGAGTAATACAATAAAAATTTTCCATATTTTTTTAAACATTGAAAAAAAAAATAAAAATACGAGTTACAAATTTCTCTACTCTTCATTTGAATTTGTATTTATCATCCCCAAAAATTTTTTTTTTATAAAACCCGATTACTTCTGAAAAATAAAAAATAAATTAAGGGAATTTTCCACAAAGTCTGTGAGAATCCTCTGATTTTCCTCGAATGTGTTATCATCAATGCTTTTTATGGAAAATAATGATACGAGATTTGAGTGGAATATTTCTCCTTGTGGGGGGAATTTCGGAAGGGTTTGTAAGCCTGTGAATAGTCTGTCTGTGCACAGCTGATGCCCGTATGCACGTGGGGGTGAAAAATACGAAACGTCAGTGAAGCGTTGAGCAAACTAGAATTCACAAGGGTTTCCCCACTCGATCCCCAACAGAGAAAACGAGGGGAAAAGCAAACGTCACCCCCCCTTGCCTCACAACAGCTGACTGCTTTCTCATTAATAAAAAGTACGTTACGAAAAATTCCGTGCATACCCATTGCCTCTCAAATCCTACGGATTTCCGTCTCATGCTTCAGGAAAACTTGTTCTTTAATATTCATCAGTGATTTTTAAATTTTTTTCAGGACATAACTGTCAACGGAAAACTTTCACATGAATTTATTCAGGCAATTTAAAAAATTCACTGATTTAGATTTTTTATTTTCACTCTCGACTTCTAGAAATTCAAATGAATGATTGGAGTCATTTTTTTTTTTCAGTGCGAATTAGAAATTGAATGGGATTTTTTTATTTGATGGAATTTTTACAGTGTTGATTGGGGATTTTTTAATTATTTTTTCAAGTCTATGTAAATTTTGAATTTCAGTTGAATTATGTCACGAAATTTAATGGAAATGAAATTTATGGAAATAATGGAATTTTCCGGTTTTTCAGAGGAAATTTTAATTATTGAATTGATTGAAATTTTTCCGGTGAAATCGAATTCCGTGGGATTTTCCGGAAAGTTCATGAATATTTTTTAGTAATTGAATTAATTGTCCTCAATTTTATGAATCTAACTTTCTTTTGCACTCAATAAAATTAGACTCAATCCTAGACTGAATTCATGTAAATATCAATTAAATTATTCCTCCGCAATAAATAAAAAAAAAATCAGAAATTCCCAGAAATCATGAAATTTCCGTTTCATTCTTCTAAAAGCAATAATATTTTTTTTTCAATTTTCAATTACCCAGGAAGAAAAAAATTACCGAGGAAATTGTGACAAATTAAAATTACTCTCATTTGATTTCCCAGAAAATTCATACATTTTTCAACGAGCTGTACAATTAGCCCTGATTTTTTTTAATTTCACTTCTCTCTGCACCGAATAGAATCCCAACGTCTTATTCACGTCCTAAAATAGTACCTCAGTGGGTGTTAGTGCAACGAAGCGAATAATAACGACAAAAATACTCTCACTCGTATGAATAGATGCTGTCGCATTATCAGCGCATCATGGTCGCAAAAAAAAAATCACTCCATCTTCGATAAGAGAAAAAAAACAAGCAGTGATATTTTTCGTCGCGTGCATACGACCTTCGTAAAGAGTGAAATGTAAATTCGAGATAACGCATTTGACGAGTAAATACGGGTGTACGTTCGTAGTAGTGAAGAGAGAGACATATTTAATTAACATATTCGAATAATTGAACTCGATTTTCGTGACGTCATCATCGCCTTTGCAAATGGCAGAATCTCCAGGACAAAATCCAAGAGGAAAAAAAAAAATTAAAAACCCCTATCAATTTTTTAAATTAATCAGTCTATTTTTGTGGATTAATTCCACTAGAAATTTCCCATGATTTTTTTATTTATTGCGTTGATCAGTTGATTAATTAAATCTGAGCAATCATTTTGTATTTTTTTTGTATTTTATTCATTCCAATATTCGGATATTGATATTCAGCAGTTTATCACATCCCAAGAAAACTTTCTCCATTGATTTCACTCCCCACAACGATAAAATGCATCAACAGGGTTATCGCAAGGTGCGGTGTAATGAAAATAATAAAGAATCAATAATCAAACATGAACTCTCGGCCTGCATCTCGCAATCCACTAGTATCAATTCGCAAAAAAATTTATCAACGAATGATTGAACCCAAACAACAACGTGTCATTTACGAGTTCGAGCTTGTGATTTCTTCTTAAAATGACGATACGTGCTCTCACAATTCTGACGCGTTTGCATTTGAGTGCAATGACTGATAGAAAACATCCGGCATTACTCATTGCTTTGGGCAAAATCCCTTGTTTTTTTTTCCCCCAAGCAATGCCCAAAAAAAAAGAACCAAATTCTACCAAGGAACCGGTGGTAACCAATTTTTTTTTTATTCTGGAGTTAATTGCTTGGCATTCGTCACGTGTTGAGCTAATATTTGCCGCTTGATTTCATCGATTTAGTGATACGCAATTAATCAGTCCCAGTGAAGACAAAAAATCAGGATAACGAATCATAATATTTTTGAAACGTTATCAGTGGATTTAATTCATTTCCGGGGACTTGCGAATTTTTTCGCGAATTAGACCTCCAATTTTTAGATAATTCCACAGTAATTTAAATGAGACTGCAATTGAACTGGAATTCCGTTGAACATTTAATTTAAAATTCCATGATTTTTTTAAATTATAAAATAACTCCTCTAACAAAAAAAAAGGCTCACTTCTTAGACCCTCGAGTTTTTGCTCAATATCTCGGAAACCACTCAACCAATGAAAAATTTCCTTAGAACCTTTTCAGTAGAGTAAACATATCTCTACAAAAAGTTTCAACCAAAAAAATTGTCTATCTCCCCCCAATCCCCGGATATTCTCAAAACGACTGACCCCGACTGACCCCAATCCAAAAAATCGTGAAATATCAAAAAAATTACCTGTGATACTGCTCTGTTTCCTCGCAGCGACGGGTAAGACCGGAGTAGTTGGTTCAACATTGACCCTCTCCTTCCTGTTATTCTCCTTGGGCAATTCCTCAGGATCTTCACCAATGCCAGGTACCCTGGACACCTGAGGTGGAGTTTTCTCCGAGGTGCTCTGAAAGGGTCCATCAGTAGCCATGGGTGAAACACTAGCTCGTCTCTTCCACCCGGGACTATCATTTTTCCTAGGCGATGACTCTGTACTTCTCCTCAAGTACGGCATACCCCTCAGCGCATAAGACTCCTGTACCCCTTCCTGTGGCTCAATCACCTGCCAATCGTACCTCGAGTTGTCAGTTGGCATCTCCAAACGAAAATCAAAACCCCATCTCTTAGCATCCATAACGGATTGTTCCTTCAATTCTCTCTCAGCAAGCGCCCGCGCCGCTGCATGATCCACCGGTCCAAACAAATCCCGTCGGACTCTAGCCAACGCATCCCTATTAGGAGTAGCCCTTTTTCCACCACCTAAATTCCTCATCTCACTCATCGTCCCAGGATTCATCACTCTAGCGCTCATATTTCACAACTGCACCAACAATAATTCCGCCAATTAATAAATCTCCAACCCCCAGACACTTCACCAACAATTCACCGCAACCGACTTCATCGGTCAATCGTTAACTATTTTTATTTCTCCCTAACCCCACAATGAGATATCTTTCCTGGAATCTGTAATGGAGTCACTCCAACATGTATCAACTATTCCAATTCACTAGGTCTCTCAATTTTTTTTTTTTTTTCTCCTTGGCAACGCAGCAAATACGCCTTTTCAGACGATGAAACACGATGCGGAAGAGGTTAACTCTCCATTTATCTGAATAGTCGAGTTTTTTTTTTTACTGAGGTTGAATTTTTTAATAGTAAAACTCCGGAGTTACTTGGAATCTAGTATCACTGGGTCAAAAGTCCCTCAAATTCTCTCTCTCCCTCACCAACACAACAGCATCAACTCCCACTCTCCGAGGTTCTATCTTTTTTTCTTTATGTCTCTTTCTCTCTCCTGGCAACACCGTAATAACGAGAGTTCCCCCAGAGTTCGTAAAACGGCGGGGCTTTCTCGATATCCAATCCGGCAACGTTGCACGCACTTGCGTGCTCCAGAGGAGGAATGAGTTGGTTACGTGGTATTCGAATGGTAGACGCTGGTAGCGGGAGTGAAAAATCCCCGTCCAATAATTAACAATCCGCACCAAAAAAAGATAAAAAAAAAATAATCAAAAAAATATAATGAACTCACAGCACCGATTCAACCATTAATCCACTCAACCGTTCAATTATCCAAACGGATTATTGCACGTCCCCAACACCCAGAGCACGTGATTCGTCACTGAGCAGACGCCACTCGTCAAATAATTCCTCTTCCCGCCTAAACGACAGATCACACGATAAATCCCAAATATCGAATGTACCACTTAAACACTTCACTTCGTTCACTCATACGTCTGTCTCCATCGGCCGTTACACTGGGTTAGTGATAATTTTATTTTAAATAATTGTCGAGTGCGCAGTGGTTTTGGTAGTGGGGCGAGCAATGAGAAGAAAAAAAAAATTTTACTTCGGAGAGCGCGAAAGAACGTAACGCACGTGCGAAGCGCTCTCTGGCGACTGAGCGACGCGCCGTTGTGTGTGCGCAGGTCCACCCGACGATCGGTTGAACGTCGAGTGTCATCGGGTCTCATCGGGATAGGCTCGGGGTGGGGTTCGCTGGGAGGGGGGCTGCAAAGGGGTCCGTGGGGGGCATGTGTTTTTCAGATGGTGGGTTTCACTCGGATAAAGTCCCCGTCGGAAGAGGATCTTCGGCAATCCCCCACTTCCATTTTAAATTACGAGTGAAACAGCAGGGGGAAGGGGTCAATCCGAAGACTATTCTTCTGCGGTGAGGACTTTACACTCGGCTTCTCGTGTTAGTTTCCATTTTGACTTTGGCCAGGAAGGGGGGTGGAGGGGGCGCTTTCCCCGCCTTCTTTGTCCCTCGCCCACAACTTTTTTACCTCCACCCCTCCGAGCCCCCCCCCCTCCTCATCATGTGCCAGTGCCCGCGTGTCCGACGAAATAACCGCCACTT